ACATAAGCAAAACCCTTATCCAAAAACCAAACCAAGAGTTTAAAATAAAAAAGGGGTTTAGATTTTGATTGGCTCCACACGAGTCCAAGTTGGCTCCTTCACAGGAGCTCCACAAAAGGCTGACAACTTAGTGACTCCGAGGCACTCTCTATCCTTGATGCCCATTTTGCTCACCCCCCCCACACATATATATATATATATATACATACATAAATAGTGAGTTAATGCCCAATGAGTAATAACAAAATAAAGAGATTATATGAATGAAGTTCAATGCCATCACGAATATAAGTTTCACATTTCTAGTCAATCTTAACATTACTAACCATTTCATTCAATTCATGTGCACATCCAATAGAGTAACCATGTATTATTAACATTGGGACCTCAAGGGTAAATCAATGTTCAATATTCAATATGACCACAAAGGTCTAATATTAGAGATCTCTGTGTTTCAAATATCCAATGGGCCATGGTATTGTTTCCCCCGGGCGAGGGCCAATGGGCCATGGTATTAATTTCCCCCAAGCAGGGCCTCTTTATCAATAGGCCATGGTATTATATCCTCCAGGCGAGGGCCTCACTAAAAGATTCCACGAATACACTTTCAGAAGGGAACTTCATTCATTCATAAGAAACTAGCATTCAATAAGCCATTTGATATATCAATAAGTCATTCATATATCAATTTCAGTAACAATAACATTTTCAAAAATAATTATAACTTGAACATATCTTTATAGAGTTATTACTCACAGTGGGTTACGTTGTCACTAGGCCTCAGACGTTCACCTATACAAAACACATAACAAAAATGCAATTGGTGTACTGTTCAATAACCATTCCGCTTTAATTAAAATTTCCTCATGTGTTTCCAACTCATTCCATGTTTCTATGAGCTCAATTGGTACCTAATAATACTTGAAATAACATGAGGATGCAAGTATGCACTTAAAAGAGTTAGGCAAAACTTGCTGAAAACAGGGTCTCCACTTGAGCGTAGCTTTCTTCGCTCGAGCGGGGGTTCAAAAATAAGGGGGTTCAAAAATAAGGGTGGTCGCTTGAGTGCAACTTTTGTCACTCGAGTGGTCTGCAAACTCTACAAAAGTACTGGTTGCAAGAATTTTCTGCTCGATGGATGCTCGACGGTTGCTCGAGCAGAAGACTGAGAAAAAGTGGGTTCGCTCGAGCGTGCATTTTGTCGCTCGAGCTACCATGCAAATGTCTGCAAAAATGCTAGGAGCATGAATTTTACACTTGAGCGAACCTTTCGTCACTTGAGCGAACTAGTCGAATTATGGAATTTCTAGAATTGTGTTTGAAGTCCAAACTAGATATTCAAAGGTCCAAAACTTGTATTTTTTTGTACAAAAACTTGGAAAAACGTTGTATAACATGGAAACACTTCCAATTTGAAACCATTTATTTAAAATCATGCTCCAATTGTCCAAATTCAAGCTTATAATATCAAGTTGAAACCATGCATGTTATGGATTGAGTCCTCTTCCTTTCAAAACACTACAAAGTGACATGAAATGCATGAATCCATGGATGATCTTCAAGTTCATGCCTCCTAAGCTTTATGCATGTATGAATTTTAAGAAATCTTAACTCCAAAATGAAAGATCAAGCATGCATGTGCATAATTCAACTCAAATTCATGATAATTCATGCTCAACGTACTCAATTTCAAGCAAATGATCCTATAACTCTATGAACTTAGTTTCTACATGACTCAATTCCAAGAATTTAGGATGGATTTCATACCTAATGTGTGAATTCAAGTGTAATTCCCCAAGTCCTCCACAATTTCTTCAAATTCTCCTTCCCCTCTTTAGAATTCTTGAGCTCACCTTTATTCACTCTCAAGATCTCAGCCCATATGTCTATATTATGAGCTCAAGACTTAATTAGGGTCTTATATAGGGTGTGATTAACTAACGCTAATTAAGCTTGCTTATGGATGATCAATCCTACTCAATTTAATTCATTTTAACTATTTTGGTCCAAATAAAAATTTGCCAAAAGGTGCCATAAAATTCTAAATAGTCTAATTAGCCTATTGGGCTAGTCAGTTTTGGCTTCTGAAACCGTTTGGGCTTTCAATTTCTGATTCTAAGTCGATAAGTGAACATATATTCCATGTAATAACAGATAACTACAAAATTAAGTATATAATCACACAATTAAACACACAATCATGCAATTGAGTTTATTGAAAAAATATAATATAATAGTTCGGAGGCCGTGGTTGTCATAGTCTCTCTCCCTTAGAAAGTTTGGTCCTCCAAACTTAGGTTACCTTCGAATTAAAATAAATGCGGATATCGTTGCTGTATCTCATCCTCTTTTTCCTAAGTGGCATCTTTCCCATAATGTTCTTTCCACTTGGTTTTCACCATAGGGATAGTTTTGTTTCTCAATTGCTTTACTTGCTGATCAATGATTTGTACGGGCCGTTCTTCATAAATCATATTCTCAGCTAAAGCAATCCAATGGTGGTCAATCACATGAAACGAATCTCTAAGATACCCATGAAGCATGGATACATGGAAAACATTATGCATTTGTTCCATCCCAGGTGGCAAAACAATATGGTAAGCAACAGGACCCAACCTCTCAAGAATTTGAAACGGTCCAACATAACGAGGAGTCAGTTTTCCCTTCTTGCCAAATCTCATCTGTCCTTTCATCGGTGTAACTTTGATAAATACATGATCCTTCACTTCATATTCTAAGTCTCTTCTTTGCTAGTCCGCATAACTTTTCCGTCGGCTTTGTGCAGTCTTAAGCCTTTGCTGAATGATTTTGATCTTTTTTATTGTTTCTTGCACAAGTTTGGCACCATAAATAGCCCTATCACCAACCTCTGTCTAACAAATTGGTGATCTACACTTTCTGCTATATAGTGCCTCATATGGTGCCATGCTAATGCTAGCGTGAAAACAATTGTTATAAGCACACTTGGCCAATGGCAAATACGTTTCCTAGCTGCCACATACGAAGCATGTCTTCTAAGGTCTGAATAGTCCTCTTGGTTTGCTCATCAGTTTATGGATGAAATGTTGTACTAAATCTCAATTATGTTCCTATTGCATCCTATAGACTATGCCAAAATCTAGAAACAAATTTAGGATCCCTATCTGATACAATAGACACTAGAACCCATGTAATCGAATAATTTCATCAATGTAGATAGTAGCAAGTTTATATGCAGTAAAAGAAGTCTTTACAGCAAGAAAATGAGCAGACTTAGTTAGTCTATCAACTATAACCCAAAGAGAGTCCATACCTCTAAGCGTTCAAGGTAGGCCAACAACAAAGTCCATGATGATATGTTCCCATTTCCATTCCAGGATAGGAAGAGACTGAAGCAACCCTACTGGTTTCTGATGTTCCGCTTTCATTTGTTGGCATTGTAAACATTTAGATTTAAAGTTGGCAATCACTCTTTTCATGTTGGGCCACCAATACACTAACTTCAAATCTTCGTACATTTTGGTGTTTCTTGGGTGCATAGCAAACACTGACTTGTGGACTTCCTCCAAAATTTTCCTTTTCAAATCTGCATCATTTGGAATACACAATCTCCCTTAAAATTTCAACACGGAATCTTCAATTATGAATCCCGGTTTAGGCTTGGTGTCAAGCTCATCACAAATCTTCTTCAAAAGCTCATTATTCATTTGTTTTTGCTTGATTTCTTCAATAATGGCAGGCTGTGTAGACATTGCAGCTATCAAGTTATCTTATTCAAATGGCACAACCTCAATTTTGAGTTATTCAAACTCTAGCAGCAACTCTCTCTCTGATCTGTGAGTAAACAGGCAAGATTATCCACATTCTATCAGCTAAGTACATCTACCATAATATTGGCTTTGCCTAAATGATAATGGATTTGCAAATCATAGTCTTTGATTAATTCAAGCCATCGCCTTTGACGCATGTTCAACTCCTTTTGGGTGAAAAGGTACTTTAAGTTTTTATGATTAGTGTACACTTCACATTTGGTTCCATATAGGTAGTGACGCCATATTTTCATTGCAAACACAACTGCGGCAAGTTCTAGGTCATGTGTTGGATAGTTTTTCTCATGTGGATAGTTTTTCTCATGTGGTCTCAGTTGTTGGGAGGCATAAGCAATCACCTTGCCATTCTGCATTAAAACACAACTCAAACCCTTACAAGATGCATCATTATAAATCATAAATCCTTCCGTACCTGAGGGTATAGTGAGGATTGGAGCTGTGGTCAATCTTGTCTTTAGTTCTTGAAATGCAGATTCTCTTTGGTTGGTCCATTCAAATGGTTCCCCCTTTCGAGTCAATTGAGTCAATGGCACTACAATCCTTGAGAAGTCTTTAACAAACCTTCGATAATAACCAGCCAATCCCATAAACCATGAACTTCTGTTACATTAGTCAGAGTAGGCCAATCAACAATCGCTTTGATTTTCTGAGGGTCAACTGAGATACCATTTCTGTTAATAACATGCCCCCAAAACATTATTTCATCAAGCCAAAACTTACACTTCTTCAATTTCCCATACAACTTCTTTTCCCTAAGTGTTTAAAGAGTCATTCTCAAGTGTTGTTCATGCTCATTTTTACTTTTTGAATAAATCAAAATGTCATCAATGAATATAACAACAAAGTCATCTAGAAAAGGTTTGAAAATTCTGTTTATCAAATCCATAAATGCTGCGGGCGCATTAGTGACTCCAAAAGGCATGACTAAAAACTCATAATGCAGAAAGCAGTCTTTCCAATATCTTTAGCTCTCACTTTCAACTGATGATAGCTTGATCTCAAGTCAATTTTTGAAAATACCCGAGCCCCCTGCAACTGGTCAAATAAATCATTAATACGCGGCAATGGATATTTATTCTTCACCATTACCTTATTGAGTTCTCGGTAATCAATACATAATCTGAGGGTCATATCTTTCTTCTTTACAAAAAGAACCGGCGTTCCCAACGGCGATGTACTTGGACGAATAAATCACTTCTCAAGCAATTCCTGCAACTGAGTCTTCAATTCTTTCATTTCAATAATGGACATAAGGTAGAAAGTTTTAGAAATAGGTTGTGTGCCTGGTATTACATCAATTGTAAACTTAATCTCTCTATTAACAAGTTGGCCAGATAATTCATCCGGAAACACATCGGGAAAATCTCTCACCACTGGTATATTGTCTAGAGTAATGTCCATGGTTAGTTCAGTTATTACACTACACAAATACCCATGACAACCCTTACTCATTAGTTTTCGGGCTTTCATGGTAGATATAAGGTATAGTGGTGAAACTACCCCTTTTCCCTCGAAATAAAATTCATCTTGTCCGAGAGGTTGGAACATCACTCATTTCAAAGCACAATCAATAGTTGCATAGTATTTATCTAGCCAATCCATACCTAAAACAACATCAAAATGTCTCATGTCTAAAGGTATTAAATCAGCATACAAAACAACATTCCCGAGAAATGATTCACATACAGCAAATATAGTTGAACATAACATGGATCCCCCCGTAGGTGATACAACACATAATATATAACTCAATGTTTCCATAGGTCTATTCAAAGTTTCAGCAAAAACCATAGAAACAAATGAATGTGTAGACCCTGAATCAATTAAAGCGTAAGCAGATTTGCCACAAAATGGACCTGACACTACTATTTCAATATTTTGACTGCCCCCCAGATCAATGCAAAGACTCTTCCTTATCTCTGTTCATTTATTGTGGTAGACGATGTTGCAGCTGGTTTTGTTGTGGGAACTGATCCAATCAATCTTGCGGCACCTCGATTACTACCCTGATGTGACTATGTAAAATCTTTCTCCATATGCCCTATCTTTCCACACTCGTAGTAAGCCCCCGTAGTGTGATAGCAAACATCCCGGTGCTTCTTTCCACAAATAGTGCAAGTAGGTACTGAGTTGCCACTTTAGGTTGACCCCGAATTACTGGAATTCCCAGACTTCAACTTCTTTTTTGTTAATGTTTTCCCCTTATTAAAGTTTTGCCTCCTGCCCTTCCATTCAAAATTCTGTTTACGGTTGGCCACATTTCCCTCTGCTATTAGTGCCCTATCAAGCAAATCCACATATGTTGGTAATTTAAGTACATTGACTCTGTCTAGGATTGGGTCACGCAAACCTCCCTCAAATTGTCTAGCTTTCTTGTAGTCCGTATCTACCATGTGAGGTGTGAAGTGGGCTAACTCTGTAAGCTGAGTTTCATACTTAGCTACTGATTTGTTTCCCTGTTTGAGTTCCATGAATTCAGACACTTTTCTGTCCCCATACACATTGCGGGAAGTATTTCTCGTAAAGATCTCTAGAAAACAAGCCCAAGCAACATCCTTATTCTCATCTCGAACCAACATCCACCAACACCTTGCATCATCTTCTAATGTGAATGCAGCTAGTTGTATCCTTTGAGCGTCGGTACATAGGAATACTTTAAACAACTTCTCAATCCCTAAAACCCAAGCTTCGGCCTTCAACGGTTCAATTCCACCATGGAACACTGGTGGCTTCATCTTTTTGAATTCTCTAGTCAAAGAAACAGTACAGTCCCCCGTCTGACACCCTGGGGCTGGTGGTGGTACAGGCATTGGAGGTGGAGGTGGCAGTTGTTATTGTTGTTGCCACTGCTGTTTTTGTCTTGTGGCTTCAGCCATGTCCTACATCATTCATTCCATTCTATCCAATCTTGAGGAGGTTACTTCCTCTAGCTCATCACCTCGTATTATCACCATTTTCTATATGAAACTTGTATTATGACAAACACAATATATATTCATGCACACAATTACATATATAATCACGAAATCATCTCACTCAAAATAAACTTGTATTATGACAAACACAATATATATTCATGCACACAATTACATATATAATCACGAAATCATCTCACTCAAAATTTCAAATGCACGTGAATGCAATCCTGAAGTCACTTTTAGACTCTCTATGGCTCAATGTACTAGTGAGTGGGATATAACAGGTGCTTTGATACCACTCTGTCACAACCCAAACCCGCCCCTATAGGTTTAGCATCATTACTGGCCAATAATCTTAGATTACCTATGACCTCTATTAACGAAATCAAATTAACATGAATTATGGGGCTTAGCGGAAGCAAATTAAAATATAGAAGTAGTCCATTGAGCTGTGCATATATGAAAAGAGTTCGCATAAACACTGCACAACCGTTCTATAGGTAAGTGCATACACCACAAAAGATTTAAAAGAAAAAAGAAAACAACAACATTCAGCCCATAATTACGAACTTGTCAAGTCTTACATAAGCAAAACCCTTATCCAAAAACCAAACCAAGAGTTTAAAATCAAAAAGGGGTTTAGACTTTGCTTGGCTCCACAGGAGTCCAAGTTGGCTCCATCATAGGAGCTCCACAAAAGGTTGACCACTAGGTGACTCCGAGGCACTCTCTATCCTTAATGCCTATCTTGCTCACCTACATATATACACATAAATAGTGAGCTAATGCCCAATGAGTAATAACAGAATAAAGAGATTATATGAATGAAGTTCAACGCCATCACGAATATCAGTTTCACATTTGTCACGACCCGAACCCGCCCCTATGGGTTAAGGCCATAACCGGCCAGTAATCACGAGATTACCTACGGCCTCAAACCAAATAAGACAAAACTCATCAGAGTAAAGGGGCCAAACGGAAGCAAATTCAAAACTTTGTCCATAGAACCGTGCTTATATGCATATCATAACATTCCACATTTTACATATCTTAATAACTCACAACAGAAAGTATAGTATCATAAGGTTCTGTACAGACAGGATCATTCAACTCTAAGTCAGCCAAACAAAACTATACACAGACGTATACCGAAGTCCTCGCCAACATGACAAAATACACAGAAAGGTAAAATGGCGAAAACGTGTCTCGTGCGTAAGACGCAAGGGCTGACTCTTCAAAACTTTGGTTGTTCCATACAGACTTCACTGAGGCTGGGTCTAGACCTCTCTTGGCTCACCTACAAACACATGAATGAGCATGAGCGAAAGCCCAGTAAATAATATCAAATAAAAAATATACATTGGAACAATATACATCAAACGGCTTTGGGCCCAATTTATATTTCTAACTAGTACATACATACGTAGACATATGTAAGTTATGTAACTACGGTTCCAAACACATCATACGGCCTCGGGCCCAATTCTTTAGTATCATTCAGGTCAAACTGGCCTTTGGCCCATTCATTCGTTCCTATCAAAACGGCCTCTGGCCTATCTATTCATTCTTGTCGAAACGACTTTCGGCCTATTCATTCACGTCAAAACGGCCTTTGGCCCATTCATTCAAGTAAAAATGGCCTTCGGCCCATTCATTCATGTCAATCGGCCTTTGGCCCAATCATTCATGTCAATCGGCCTTCGGCCCAATCATTTATGTCAATCGGCCTTCGGCCCAATCATTTATGTCAATCGGTGTCCACCATTCAAATTAATGAACTTACAAAACTTACATAGAAGTAAACAATTGGACAACAACATATTTCAAATATCTTGTTAAGACATTACTCACAGTGATCGGCTGATTGATTTGCCCTGGAGCTTGACCCTACACATCACATAACACATATGAGTCACAACCGATTCAATCCGTTCTTAATTCACATATTCCTCTTTAGGCTTAATTCTTATTCTTCTAACTCATTTACAATGCTCAATGTATGCCTAAGAGTACTTAGAAGTGAAAGGGAACGGAAAATGGGACACATAATGCATTTTCAAAATTTTAGAAAATAGGGTCCCCGCTCGAGCGGACCCTTGAGGCCTGTAAAAGTACTGGTTATGTCGAATTTATGCTTGATCGCGAACTCTAGCGCTCGAGCGAAAGGCCTCTCTACATGGCTCCTCGCTCGAGCGTGAACTTTCCTGCTCGAGCGGACACCATGTCTGCAAAAAATACTGGGAACACAAATTTCATGCTCGAGCGGCGGTTTCCCCGCTCGAGCGGGAATCAAAATTCTGGAAAATCCAGAACATGTTCTTGAGCTTCAATTCGACATTCAAAGGTTCCAAATGCATGATTTTAGCTTAAATTTCACATATACATATTCTAACATGGTATAAACACCAAATTACAACACAATGAAGCTTAATTTCACAATTTAATCACATGCATGTCTCAAATTAACTCAAACTGATCACCAACACACTAGATTCAAACATGCAAGACTCAAACTCCCATGATTTTCACTTGCATGTGAGAGATATTCATTATTCTCAACTAAATTGGTGAAGAAATTATCAAATACATGGATTTCAAACAAGATTCATCATGGATTACACACTTTGTGCTCAATTATGGAAATTCATGGCAATTTCCTTCATGCATGTGTTCTAAGACTTCAAATTCAACAAAACCAACTCAAATTCATTTCAATTCTTACTCTTGATCATTAATCAACTTTGAATACACAAAATACACATTAAACTCATGAATTCAAAAATCAATTGCTTACCTAGAAGCCCAATCTTCCCAATCTATGCTTAATTCTTGAGTTCAACCTTCCAATTTTTCAAACTTGAGCCAAACACATGATTTTCCCCCTTGCTTCTTCTCTAGCCGACCCTCTCCCTTTCTTAGAGTTTATAATCAGCCAAAATGAAGATAAAAGGTAGAAATTGAGTGTATAGTGCCTTTATTAAAAGCCCCTTTGGTCACATTATTTTATTATCAAATAATGAGGCACTAATTTGCTAATTAAATCAATTTAATTTGATCCGAATCAATTTCTAATTAAATTTCACTGTAGGCTCTAAAAATTATGCCAATCATAATGGCGTAATCAATTTCGGTTTCGGTGGCCGATAGGGCCTTCAACTTAAATTCCAAAGCAGATAATCAAACAGATATTCCTACGGTGAACAGATAGAAATTCAAAACCACATATTTTCACATAATGGCACACCAAATCATATCAAAACACATAATCACATTTGTATTAAGGACCAATTAGCATAATAAGGAACAGAGTTATCACAACATTTCTAGTCAATCTTAACATTAATAACCATTTCATTCAATTCATGTGGCACATCCAATAGAGTAACCATTTATCATCAACAATGGGACCTCAACGATAAATCAATGTTCAATATTCAATGTGACCATGAAGGTCTAACATCAAAGATCTCTGTGTTTCAAATATCCAATGGGCCATGGTATTGTTTCCCCCCCAGGCGAGGGCCAATGGGTCATGGTATTAATTTCCCCTAAGTAGGGCCTCTTTATCAATGGGGCATGGTATTATATCCCCCCGGCGAGGGCCTATTAAGCAATGGGCCATGGTATTATATCTCCTAGGCAAGGGCCTATTAAGCAATGGACCATGGTATTATATCCCCCAGGTGAGGACCTCACTAAAGGATGCCACGAATACACTCTCAGAAGGGAACTTCATTCATTCATAAGAAACTAGTGTTTAATAAACAATTTGATTCAATAAGCCAATCAATCATTCATATATCAATTTCAGTAACAATAACATTTTCAAAAATAAATATAACTCGAACATATCTTTATAGAGTTATTACTCACAGTAGGTTACGTTGTCACTAGGCCTTGGAGGTTTACCTATACAAAACATATAACAAAAATACAATTGGAGTACCGTTCGATAACCATTCCGCTTTAATTAAATTTTTCTCATGTGTTTCCAACTCATTCCATGTTTTTATGAGCTCAATTGGTGCCTCAAAGCACTTGAAATGACATGCGGATGCAAGTATGAACTTAAAAGAGTTAGGCAAAACTTTGTGAAAACAGGGTCTCCGCTCGAGCGTAGTTTCCTTCACTCGAGCGGGGGTTCAAAATAAGGGTGGTTGCTTGAGCGCAACTTCTGTCGCTTAAGCGGTCTACAAACTCTACAAAAGTACTAGTTGCATGAATTTTCTGCTCGATGGACACTCAACAGTCGCTCGAGCGGAAGACTGAGAAAAAGTGGATTCGCTCGAGTGTACACGCACACACACACACACACACATATATATAAGCGAAAATTTATGAAGAATAAAATAGTTCTTTAGAGGATTTACCTCAGAAACAATGTTGGGTCTCATTTTTCTCTGCGTCTTCTTCACTATGTGCTTTGAACATGTCTTAAATTTGTTGTTATATGTAGCCAAACATCATATAACATCTCTCTCGGGCTTCTCTTGATCCCTCTGGATCTTGTTTTAGACTCGGGCCCAACTACCGAATCAAGTAATGTGAATTTGTCTTGTTTTTTTTTTCTTTGGGGTTCTGGTTCTTTTGTCCTTGTACATACCTACACGATCCAATCTAGCCTGACTCGACCTTACCGTACCTTATCCAACCCTGATCAACAATATTACAAATCTACTTTTATCAATTCAGAATTTATTTATAAAAATAAAAAAGATAAAAAATCAATGGCTCATATTTATTTTATGTATGAATCCCACATTTCATCAATTCAATATCCACCACACAAACACACTCAAAGTAAATTCGAGATCCGTAAGAATGGGTTCCTAGCCATTTTCTACCCTGATCTTGTTAAAAAAAATGTGTTTGGTTACAATTCTCATAAATTA